AAATCGAAACGTGAAAGAAAAGACGCACTGCAGATAACATCAGTGGTGCAACATGGAACGTTCTAGAAGATGAGGCGTGGCAAAGCGTTGCTCCGGTGACCCACAACACGAGTACCGCAGTGGCTTGTGGCCGTGACAGGGTGTGCATGCACAGCTTTAGCAGGCATCTCAATGACGACACGAAGCTGGCCTCTCTCCAGAAGTTCCAGAAAAGAGCAAAGGCAATTAGGAAAGCTGAAGCCACTGAGCTTCCGTCGTCACGAGGGGTCATAAAGGAAAGAGCAAAGTGGAGTCATTGCGTGCCGACCGCCACTTCAGTGACTTCAAAAATTTCTACTTAGGAAAATGGTACTTTCATTAAGAAGAAACGGCGGAGGATCATAAAGCGCCCAAAGTGTGCCCAAAGTGTACTCTTCGCTGTTTGATGAGGACACACTTTTCTGGATCTGGATCCAGAAAATTGAAGGTTATAAACAGGTTTCTTCAGAAAGGAATTGTGCCTGAGTGAGAGGAGGCGGTCAGGTCAGTTCTCACTTATCAAATGAACCAGATAAATTCAGGTCTTCTCTTTTTTAATAGATAAAAAAGAATCTGAGTGTCTCTCCATGGCTAAAATAAAAACATGGAAAGAAAAAACTTTATTAAGATCTGAAAGAAATTGCTGTCAACTATTCCTACCACTGCAGAATCTTTTGAAACAAGTTTCAAAGGCAGAAATATAAGTGACAAGAACACGCTGCTCCACACACATGCCTGGAATTCTAAACAAGCGGGGCTTAGAACCTGATTTTCAAAGGTGCTGTCAATGGCTGAGGACTAGGACATCTTTCTCCGTTTGGTCCAGGAGTTCATCCTGGGAGCGGCCAAGCACATCCCGGCTGCCACACAGAGCGGGACAGGCCTCTACGAGGCCAGGCCCCTCACCCCGCTTCCTTGTGGCCTGCTTGAGATCTGTCTCTCTTCTCCAACTACTGAAAGAAGTTGGCCAGTGTTTAGAAATCTTCTGATCCATGAAAGAGCAGAAAACTTACCTCAATCAGAAAAACTTTCAAATTTCAGATGTGTACATGCTTTTAAAAATATAAAGCACCAGAAGCAGCAGAACTGTGGATGTCAAATGATAGCTCAGAAAATGAGACTGATTAGATGAAGTTTTCCTGTGACAAAAGTCGCATTCTGTGACTTCCCTTTTTTTTTTTCTCAGCTCCTTTTCTGGATATATCATTTTGTATCTTTTTCATACAGCAGAGACATTATATCCACAAGCCGGCTACATTTCTTTGGTTGACAAAAATATGGCAGTTTCTTAGGTGTCAGGATTGTATTTTGTTTTCAGAAACTGGCAAAGATTAAAACTGTGTAGGATCTTAGCTTACGAGTTCGGTTATCTATAAAAATGCAAGATTTAAAAATGACTAAACCTCTAAGAATCTTAAAAGTGAACTGCGCTTAAATCAAAGTGCTAAATATGATAATCTGATGAACAAACCAAGCTGACTTAATATAGTTTACGTACCTCAATCTACAAAGTGAATTTTAAAAAATTAAATAATATAAGCCAAATAAGCTTGTAAGAAAGTATGGCAGAAGATATATCGGCCGTTAAAATTGGTTACTGTAGGACATAGAAAAGGGGGCGGGGGTGATTTAACTTTGTCTTACGCATATTAGAATTGTTTTTCTTGTTACAATGATCATATCTTATTTTTATAATTAAAACAAAATCTCACAATTCAAATCTAAACAAAAAAGAGAAATATTTATAAAACTTAGACTAGTATAGCATATACTTATATTTTCTCCTCCCTCCTTTTCCCCCTCTAGGTTTCGAAGTATCTAGAAAATTTCATCTAAGAAGAAAGCAGAGATGGAGAGGCAGTAGGAGCCGGGAATGAATTAGCAAAATAATGTCAAACGTAAAAGCAAAAGAACTTTCGTCCCCGGGTTTTCTTTAAGCTTCTCTCCCAAGAAGTTAAAATTGTCTCACAGGATGTCGAGCACAGAACAGCGGCTTCCGCGGGAAAGAGGGGACTGGACACGGGGAACACACTCGAGGGGCATTGCTGCAAACGGAGCAGAGTGGGCTGCAGGGACGGTCTCAAGGGCAAAGGGGCCGCTGGTTTTATGTGTGGTGTGGTTGCCGAGCTGGTCCTCACACCTGTTAGCCACGGGGTCAGTGTGGGAGGGGTCAGTGCCACAGGCCCTGCCCTCTGTCCTGTTCTGCAGCTGTTAAACGCCCAGGAAATTCCAGTGTAATCCTTGCTCAGCTTAATGCTGCAGCCTCTCCCCTTTAATCTCCACCTTGGATAGGTCTCAGAAGCTCTCTCTTCTAGCCCTGGCCTCCCGCCCTGAAAAGGATCCCATTGGCCTTTGCATCGATATCCAGAGCAGACAGTGAGGAGGTGGCTGTCCTCCGGTGCGTTAGCCCTTCTGCCTTGGCTGGAGAGGACAATTTGTGGATTACCCAACAGGGGACAGTCCTGTGTCTCCTGAGGCGTCCGAGAATGTACCCTAGAGCACGCAGATGCTGATAAATGTGCCTCCCACTGTGGAACTGGGGGAGGCTCTTAAGATACAGGCAGTGTCTGGCTTTAGCCAGAGAGTCACTTAGAATGAGCCACTCCGGCTGTGCACTGCCTGAGGACATGCGTGGCTCTGGAAAAGAGCATAAGGGAGGCTGTTGGGGCAGTCGGTACATGTGCATGAGGGATGAGTAAGTGGGAGATTGTGGACGAAAGCCCATGAGTGCCGGGACCCATGGCTGTGAGAGCGAGTGCGTCCGCGAGGTGAGCCGCATGTGGAGCAGGACCGTGGGTGCAGGGAGGTGTGTGTGGCTGTAAACAGGCACATCGGTGCAGAACCGAATGGGGTCCTCGGAACCCCCGAGCCCGCACCGTGGGTCTGCCCCACTCCACCCCTAGTCAGCCTGTGAGCTTCTCTCTGCCCCAGGAAGTGCTTCAGCAGAAACACCTGGGCTGGGAGAAGAAGGTGAGCCGCCAAGTTGAGAAAGGGAACCAGAGGCCAGGCCGCCGAAGCCTCCGACCCCCAGCACAGCCCTTCCATCTAGAGGGGAGCGTGGACGTAGGCCCAGGGCCCAGCTCAGGAGAGGGTGATGAGTGGGAGGAGGGCAGCGGGCTGGGAGGAGGCATGGTCCTGGCCTTCCCTTGCTCAGCCCATGGTTGCCTGTCGTTCCCCAGCTCCCTGGTGACACAGCCGTCACTGCCAGCCATCTTCTTGCATCCCGAATGAACCAAGAGACTCCAAAGGAGTCCTCCTCCCTAGGGCCCTCGACAGGTAGAGCGGAGCCCCCACCTCAACTTTGCTGGGACATAGAAGGTCCAGTGCCTGGAGGGAGCCCAGGGGCCCCTCTGACTGCAGTCCTGCTGTTCTCAACCCCCCAGTGCCCCCATTGACTCAGATAGTTTCCCTGCAGTGTCCCAGGTCTCACAGCCCCTGTCCCACTGAATCAGCATCTCCCCTTCCAGGGCCTGAGTCAAGTTCCCCTGGCAGCGGAGGGCCTGGCCCAGGTTAACTGACTGGGAACAGGCCCAGCCGCTTCTCTCCAGGGGCGCTGGGTGCCGCCAGGGACATTACAACATCGGCTATGCTGGGCCAGCGCCAGCTCCCCGGGGAGGGGAGGAGAGAGGGGACCAGACAGCCAAGACTGGTGGGTGGGGGTGTGGGGCCGACGGGGCCAAGCTCCCCGCCACCGCGGAAAGAGAGGAGGCGGGGCTGGCGCAGCAGCAAGCTGACTTTGGGGTGGAACTTGGGGGTATGGCTGGGAGCACGAACCAAGCCTTCCTACCACCCCAAGGCTCACCTGTGGTGACGGGGGTGGGGAGCAGAAGGGCCGTGGGAGCTGGGGGCACATGTGGGTTCGATCTCGTTGCTTCTCCCAGCTCCACTGGGATTGGAGAGATGCCACTGGAGGGGTGGGCAATCCTCTTAGAAGGCTGGGAGCCCGGCCTCCGCCAGGACCCCTAGAGCAGGACCCCCTGTAACGCAGCCCGGGGAGGGTCTCTGCAAACAGTGGGGATCGCAGCAACAAGGATAATGGGGGTGTCAATGAGGCTGCTCAGAGGGGGCAGGGGAGCCAGGTGGGCCAGTCCCGCACCCCTCACGAACCCCACTCTCGCACTCCCCCAGAAGGCCCCCCCGAGGGTCTTCCGAGGCCCTGTCTGGAGGGACGCTGCACTTTCACAAACCTGAATCCCTGTGTCCAGGCACAACGCCCCTCGCCCCCCAACGCTGCCTGCGACCCCGTGTCTCACCTTCCCGCCGGCCGCAGGCTCCGCAGGTCTGCACCCCGCGAGGCCCCGCGCTGGC